TCTGCGCAGTCGCCGTTAGGCAGACCGGGATACGCGTAACCCTACTGGCCTTACCCCCGACGATCGCCGTAATCAGCCGACGGTCTGGCGCCCTAAATAATCGGGGGTAGAACCAAACAGGCCTTGTGGCGGAAGAACTCGGAGCGCGGTCAAACCCCCCGAAATTCCCTGCCACAACTTGAATAATGACATTGAAGATAAGATGTTCACAATAATGACACAATACCAATCGAAATGTACAAATAAAGCAGTAGATGTAGATATCATAGGTTTAAGAGCTTTCGTTGACATTACATATGGTGAACCGCTTCAACAAGATGTTCCTGAATTCATCGGTCATCTTGTCAATAAATCTAAAAGTTTACAGCGATCGATTGAACATAAAACTATTTTTACGTGTCCTAATCGTGAATGCAATTATATTAAAAATTTTGGTATGTACTCCAATTACATCTTACCTTTGCATTTGACAGATAAGAAATCATTATATCGTTCACTACAAAATTTAATTGACGACAATCTCAAATCGGCATCACCTACAGATGTAATTTGTTCAGTTTGTAAAAAGTTTACAGTTTATGAATCTCTTAATTTTAGTACTAACAATGAAGTCATAGTGCTGCAATTGAAGATTTTTGAACTACGGGAATTATCGAAAGGACTAACTGAAATTAGAAAATCAACAATTTTATTCTTAAAGATATTGAAACCAATGTACACATTAATAATAAGGAATATTCGATCAGCAGCATTATTATTCACGAAGGGGAAACTTCTAAAAGTGGTCATTACACCAACATTCTTCGTCAAGGTGAACAATGGTTTTTAGTTAATGATTCCAATTTTAACAAGATATTATGTCCAAGAAGTATCAAAAATACATATGTCATATTTTTACAACCAGCCCCAGTAGAGTCAGCATTATTAAGAACACCAGTATTAAGAACGTCAGTAATCCATCAAAAACGTAAAGCTACAGATAATACCAACAATACCAACAATAAAGATTGTATTTTATTTAATAAGAGCTTAAGTCTTATTTCGATAGATTCTGAAGTTCCGGTTGCAAAGAAAATGAAATTAAGTAATCAAGCGAAAGAAATATTATTAAAATCTGAATTAGTGCCATCATTTGAAGAGAACTCTTTAAAAAATTGTAGTAATGACAATAAGCAGAATAAAACAAATTATACGAAACATGACGAAAATCGAATGCAATTATACAATAAAAATTATTATGCCAAAAACAAAGAAAAAATACTAACATATCAAAAACAATATTATGCTCAAAATAAAGGAAAAATTAGTGGGCATAAAAAAAATTACTATAAAAAGAATAAAGAAATTATACTGCAGCGTCAAACAAATTACTATAATTTAAATGAAGACAAATTAATCAAAGCCAAAAATCGACATGCCTTAAAAATCAAAAGGAAATATTTCGTCGTAAACCTTAAGCACACTACCAGAAAATTGTTTCATGAAAAACACAATTGTGTCAATAAAATTATACCACTTTTAAATTTACCATCTGTGACCGAAGCTAGAATTAGAGCTGAGTGTTTAGTTACTAAAGTTATTTCCGTTAGAGACAGATTTATATCAGAAGCCAAATATACGTTGAAAAAATTGAAAGATAAAGCGGCTATTGGTATGAGTCGTTTACGGGATATCAAAATAACCAACGTTAATATTAATAATGCAATTGCAGCCTTGTGTGGAACTTCAATGCACTCTTCGCTTTCAGAACCATATTTTTCTGAAGCAATTTATGTTTTTGGAAATGGATTACTTATGACAGATTCGTGTAAAATGAATGTAATAGTTTTGAATGAAAATGGACAATCAACTAATATCATACCTTTACTTAAAGGCACAAAAAAACAAAATACTTGGTTATGTAGTCAATACTGTAAAATGCCTGATAATCACACTGTTAACGAGATTAAAAATTTTTTTGAAAATTTGATTAATTTAGTTTATGCAGATGCTTATGAGTTTTTCAAAAATCTTGATAAATGTAGTGCCGAATCACAAAATCCTGAAAAACTTGGTCATCCTAATGTTTGTCATATTGGAATTTTCATGTGCAATTCGACATTTTTGAAACTACGAACTGTGGCTAGTCATTTTCCTTTTTTGCGAGCAATCAAAGATATGATATATGCATTACTTAAATGTTACAGGAATATCCAAGATGTTAATGAAGCTTTGAATAATTGTGATTTGGATAAAATGAATGATATTGCATCCAAAGCTTCGTCGTTTTCGGTATTTCAATGCAAAAGCACAGATGAAGTGTCATTAGATGAAACTGAAGTATTAAATAAGCTTCATGAAGGTGTCAAAATTTATTATAACACTTTGAACGATCTTCCATTGAATATTTGTGTTTCTTGCGAACGATTTTGTCGCAATAAAAGTGTAGTAGATGTTAAAAAATATGAACCAAATGTTGCATGTGAATTATTAGGAATTACGAATGATGCTTGGGTAAATTTAGTGCAATACTATGAAAACAATAATTTGATAGAAGTATTTGACAATGGTAAGATTTGCAAAACTTGTTTGGAAAAACTTAAAAAAAATTCTATACCCCCTACGTGTCTTTTAAATAATCTTTACTTCAAACCTATTCCTGACGAATTGAAATGTTTGAACATGTATGAAAAGATTTTAATTCAGCGTGCAAAAGCATTTCAAGTTATCCAGAAAAAAACCACCGTTATGAAAAAAAATTTACCTCATTACGCTCGCCATGACAAACTCGTTGGAAAAGTTTTTCATTTGCCTCTACCTTTAGATGAAACGTTACGAAAATTGTGTAAAGAAACCGATCCATTGAACACTGCTCATGAGTTATATATATTGGTTAGAAGTATTCCAACTAAAGGTAACATTATTTGGGAAGAATATGTAAATGTAAAAAGACTATGGGATGCTTTGAAATGGCTTAAAGAAAATAATAAACTGTATTCAAAAATTATTATTCCTGCTAATCCAGAAGATTTAATGAATGAAATCAAAGATACAGATTTAGACCATGTTGAAGAAGATTCTGTTAACAAAGTAGACCAAGGCAGTTGCAAGGAAGCTGCAGGTATTACTAAAATGCCTGAGCCAGAAGCTTTATTGACAGCAAAATCGCAATCGGACCCATTTTACGATGAATATACAATAAATGCTTTGCATGTTAAAAAACCAAATGAGTCAGATACAAAATTATATCAAATGAAAAAAGTTTATGAAACTCCTTTAGCTTACAATGAGATGGACTTAGATTTGAAATGTTTTCCAGACATTTATCCCTATGGTGAATGTGGCCAACGTATTCCGAGAGATATAAAATTAAGAGATTCTGATTTTATTAAACATATATTAACATCTAAACATTCACAATTTAGAGAAAGCAAACAATTACTTTTTTATTATCTACATGATAGCAATATGAGAAATCTCAACGCAGGAATTTATCACATGTTACATGTGTTGGATACACGTTACAAATACACAGCAGGAAGTTTCAAGAAACAATTGGATGACAATGTTTTAGAATCAAATCTTTACTCTATATTTTCTCGCTTGAGAGGAACTGAAGCATACTGGCGAAGACCGAGAAGAGAACTGAATTGTATGGCGCAGGAATATGGTCCAGTAACATTTTTCGTAACGTTAAGTCCAGCAGAATGGAACTGGCCTGATTTAGCTGAATTCATACGAAATTATCAATCGTTGGATGATGATTCTAGATCTAATAGTTAACTCATTGTGGACTATCCTGTGCCAGCTGCAATTTATATCGAACAAAAATTTAAAGCTATGATGGCTTATTTGCTTTCTGACGCAAAACCTATAGGAAAAATTGAGCACTACTATTATGTTCGTGAGTATCAAGGCCGAGGATTACCTCATTTTCATTGTATTTTCTGGATAAAAGATGCTCCAGTATGTGGCATATCTTCGAATGAAGATGTAAAGAAATTTATAATGCAACACATTACATGTCGTATACCCAATAAATATACATCTCCAGATATGCATCGTAGAGTTATGGAATATCAACAACATAAACATAATGACTACTGTATGCGTAAAACTAAAACACGAAGTGGTTTTATGAGTACTTGCCGTTTCGAATTTCCGCGAAAGATAACAAAAGAGTTTATTTTACGTGCTGTTATCATGGCTATAACAAATCGTAGAAAGTTGAAGAATAATAGTAGGCTTTATGATCTGCCTCGAGATTTCAATGAACGATTTACAAATGATTATATGCCTGCTATATCAGTTTTATGGGAAGGAAATACTGATGCTCAATTTATGGTGAAACAACATTTCTTTTGACATATTACATTACATGTTATGGGACAAAAGGTGAAAAAAGTAATATTGATCTTACTGATATAGCATTGAATAGATCTCTTGCTAGTAGACTTTGGACCGTAGGTCTACGCGGATTTACTCACAGAGAATGTGGAGCTATCGAAGCTGCTGATACCTTATTAGGTCATCCACTTCATGAAACTGATCCAAATACTACTTTTCTATAGGTTGATGTTGGTTTTGAGAAAAAGAGAAAATTAAAACGAAAAGATGAGTTGGAGTTATTGCCTGAAGATTTAACTGACATTTTTTGTGATAATTTAGTAGATACGTACTATCCAAAGCGCCCTAAAGAGTTAGAAACTATCTGTTTATATGATTTTTCTAGATTTTTTGATATATGGAAAAAAAAAGCCAATTCGCAAAGCTGAATATTATAAAATGGATGAAAATTTATATTGTAGAAAAAGAAAACAAGCACGCATAATTGCATAATTCTTCATATGAAATACAATCCTCAAACACAACCTGAACCCTATTATTTTTCTATACTAATATTATTTAAACCATGGAGAAAAACTGAGAAACTAAAAGGAAAACAAGACACATATCATAATGCTTTTATTGAAATAAAGGATGAATTATCTGCAGCACTTAAATATCATGATAAAGTACAGATGATTCAAAGTGCCATGGATGAAGCTAATAAATTAATTGAGCAACAAGAATTAGCAAAGACGTTGACCCAAACATCAGAACATCTGGAAAATGCTGATCCTCTTGATGCATTACAAGTTATAAAAGATGTTCAAGATTTAATTGAAAAGGTCTGTGAAAAAAAAGACGATATTGACATAGATCAATCTATCAAAAATTTCAATACTGATCAATTGAGAATATTTAATACAATTACGTCTGCAATATCATCTGGAAATAAAGTAATAAGAATGTTTGTTAGCGGATTTGGAGGTACTGGTAAAAGTTACCTAATTGAAAACTTGGTTTTATGGAACAAACTAAAGAGAAACAAAAACACCGCTGTTGCTGTTCCAACTGGTATTGCAGCATTTAATATCCAGGGACTGACAATCCACAGATTATTACAATTACCTGTAGAGCAAGGAGGCACGGCAAAATATAAACCTTTATCCGATAATGCGTTGAAAAGATTACGACAAAGTTTAAAGGATGTTGACTTTATTATCATTGATGAAATTTCGATGATATCAAATATAACCCTTATGTATATTCACTTACGTCTGGCAGAGATTTTTTTTACATCGGACAAAGAAGACGGTTGGTTTGGTAAAATAAATATTGTAGTATGTGGTGATTTATTGCAACTACCACCTGTGCGAGAAGATTTTGCTTTCATTGCACTAACAAGATCGCAAATTGAAAAATATATTAAAGGCATGTTGTCATTTAATTTATGGACTTTGTTCGAATATGAGGAATTGACTATAAATATGAGACAGAAACATGATAAAGTTTACTCAGAAATTTTAGGTAAATTGAGATTGGGTTATTTAGCCAACTCTGATATAGAAACATTGCAACAGAGAAAAATTCCTTTTTCCAGTGATACTCCTTCAATTTCTCTTCATGAACTGTGCGAATATTTGAATAATTTGTCGAATAATACAGTTTGTTTGATGCCGACTAAAGATATGTGTTCAATACTTAATAATACCATGTTGGAAAAGCTGGAGGCAGAAGAGATAAAGTTAATTGCCAATGATTGTTACAAATGCCCCAAAAGATTAGAAAAAAAGGTTTTGAAAATTTTAAATCAAGACGATGACAACGCATGCGGTATTTCTCGAGTGATCACAATAAAAATAGGCTGCAAAATTATGATACGAAGGAATATCGATGTGTCTATCGGATTAGTTAATGGAACTATAGCAACAGTTATTGCAGTGAGCAAAGGAAAAACAGGTATAGATAGCGTTACCATTAAACTTCAATCGAATCAAGAGTATTCTATCAAACGATTAGAATATCAATTCCAAATAATGGATCAAGTATTCATTACTAGAGAACAATTTCCTTTTTGTCTCAGTTATGCTATCACTATTCATAAAAGTCAAGGTTTAAGTTTAGAAAATGCTGTTGTAGAAGCAGGAAATAAAATTTTTAGTTGTGGTCAAACATATGTAGCTTTATCCAGGATTACTAAATTAGAAGGTTTACATTTAATTAATTTCGATCCTTCTAGTATCAAAGCTAACGAGTCAGCTTTAAGAGAATATAATAGATTGAGAAAAGAACATCGCCCAGATCTTGATACTTATAATATACCAGACACGGATCCATATAAAAATAACAAGATATTTGACAGTGTATGGTCTGTTTTGTGTCATGCACTGCAGGTTCAAGCCGATAATCGTAATAATATTCTTGAACGTCCATTGACTGACTTTATCCAACCATTAAAAGATAAAAATAGCTTATCGTATGCAAAATCATGTATACAAAGTCTTTTTCACTGTCAACTTATCAGAAAATGTTTGCTTGAATGTAAGCAGCAAGACATCCTTTTACAAATATTTAACAAATATATATCAAAAACATCAGTTGATTTGGTTCCACTTGCAAATTATCTGAACACTGAATATTTACTACTTATTCAAAAAGATGCTGCAGATTATTTATTAGATATTTGCACAAAATTTGAAATAATACGCAAACTTACTGAGCATGAACTAACAATTGGAATAGATGCCCGGGATATGATTTTAGACCTGATCCTATTATAAAATCAAATTATATTTTAACCTTGTATTTAAACTCCCAAATTAATGGCGCTTATACATTGCAACAAATTATTGATGAGAATATTAATGTATGGCGTGATGTTCGAGAACATTGTGACAATAAATGTCAATATGAAAAACAACATAAAGTATCTCTTTCTATTGAACCCGAAAGAATTTTGATAATCAGACTACCATTATTTTCAAACAAAACGAGTAGTATAGCAATGTATGTTCCAGCACACCTGCGGGGGGTCTGTAACCCTTTGACCCCACCGGGCTTAACCCTTTGGACCCCCTGGCTATGTTAATAATAATTATTATTGTTAACAATTATTATTAACAATATTCGTGGGGGGTCCCTTGGTTTAACCCTTTGATTCCCTGGCCTCTATCCCTTCTATGTTAATTATTATTATTATTAATGTTAATAATTGTTTATAATTTTTGAGGAAGGTTTCTAGGGCTCCTAGTCCCTAGGGACCCTATACCTAGTGCTTTTAGTCTAATTAAATTTAAATGTTTTTTTAAAGTTATAAATATATATATATTATTAATAATTTACTTGCTACATTGAGAATGAAACGAATATAGAAAATAGCGACGATTTTTTTTTGAAAAAAATGAAAAGACAGACCGGAGAATCGAACCGGAGTCCTCTGGGTTGGCAGGCTAGCGTTCTACCACTAGAGCCAATGCCACATGTACCTTAGAGGATGCATATTGTGTATATTAGCTACACACGCATACATTTGGTATAGGGCCCGAGCGTGCGGAGCAGGAGGGGAGCGCATGCTGTCTATAGTTCTGGCCTGATGGGGATGCGCTACTATAGTAGTATTAAATGTATGCTCTCTCTCTCTAGCTCTGACTTAGCGTGGTCCACAGTGCGAGGAGGAGGGGAGCGCATGATCAGCTATGCTTATTAACTACCCTATTATCTTAAGTTAATTATGTCTATCATAAATGTAGATCATAGCTGGTTTGAGGGTGATCAAGCTTCTCTACTACTTTCAGAAAGAGTAAGCATCTATGCTTACAACGTTCCCTCTTATCTTATGTTACCTATGACTATCGCAAATGTAAATCATAGACGGTTTAAGGATGGTCAAACAAAACTCATAGCGCGGACGCGTGACCTGCGTTTAATGTGTTTTTTGCGGATGACCATAAAGTCAGCGGGACGTCAAGATTTATAGTTTTTAGAAAGTGACAAACTTTCTAGCCTACATGGGGTGAGAAAGGGTACACTAAACGTTCTATCTCACTCAAAGAATGTCTACGTTTGTGTGTAGCGTTACATATATTGAAGAAAATTCGTACCTGATAATAGTGTGAGTGTTCGGTAGGATTTTCGTTGGTCAGTCTTAAAGGAAACTTCGAGCGGTTCACAGTGCAGTGCTAATTGTTTATTATTATTTAAACATTAGTAAGTTTTATATTTTTTTAAAGTTAATTGATAAAAATAAAACAACAACAATGGAAAGTATCACCAAAGCGTGTGAGTTTTTAGAAACTGTAAGTATAATTTTAAATAATTTAAAAATAATTATAATAACTTTTATAATTTTTTAATAATATTATTATTCAATTGCAGCTTCCGATCATGCAGAATGTCGGAAAAGAGCCGTTATATCGGCTCTTAATTTTAATATTAATTACCGTAAGTATTTTTTCTCATATATTTATTTATTTATTTATTTATTTATTTATTAATTATCATTTATTTTCAGTTGCAACGATTTGTGGAGGAGAGCAGTCCTCAAGGACTGCAAATCATACAAATAAAAGCAATGGTTCAACAAGTAAGTATTATTATAAAATTATAACAATTTATATTTTTTATTAATATTTAATTGTTATCTCTTTTCAGTGGATCAAGGAATCTATAGCGGCCAGAATGATGGCGCATCAAGTCGCCTATCAAATTGACAAAATTGTCAATGATCGCGTCAACGCCAAACTAGAACAACATAAGCGTGCGGACGCTATGCGGAGGCAGCAAGAATCCGCTCGATTGGAGCGGAAACGGAAAGCCGCCTTAGCTAAAGCGCAGCAAGACGAACTTGCTGCGAAAGTTAAGCGAAGGCTTTCCAGCATTGCTGCACCATCAACAACAGCCATGGTGAATGAAGGTAATGGGTCATCTTCGAGGCTGTCGACGTCATCTACATCGATGACATTATCATCAGCAACGTCGAGGACAACATCACCAGCGACGTCAACAACAACCTCTTCGACAGCAACATCCGCAGGCTGTCAAAGAGGAGATAATACTCAAATTGATAAACCACTCGATTTAACCGCTAATGTAAGTAATTAAGTTATACAATGAATTAATAAATTTAAATTAAAAATAATAATTAAAAAATTTTTTTACAGAAAAAAATTCCGGTGGTAAAAAACGTTGAGTGTGTTCGACGGAAAGTAATTTTGATTCCGACTCAACCAACCATCAGGAAGCCGACTCGCCCCTCTAAGGTCGTCGGGTCCAAAAAAATTAAATAGTAATATTAAAAAGAAAAAAATTGTATTTTTAAAAAAATAATGTATTTTATAAAAAAAAATAATAAATTAAACTAAAATAAAAAATTAATAATGTTTTAATTTACTTAGGATCTACCAGTGCCCCCACCCCCATTAACCTATTCCACCCACCTACATACTCTCACCCACTCACCCACCAATATTCATCTACATAGGTTGGTAAGGTAGGATGCTGTAGAAGTTGGTAGGGTATTTAGTAAGCTGTATGATGGTCTCTCTCCTTCTATAGTAGGGAGCATAGTAAGCTTATGCTGGCTAAGTTTGGGCCCTCGGAGAGGGGGTAGCGTCTCTAGCTTGCTAGGTGCGTACGCCGTTTAGTGTGGATGCTATTCTCTCTCTCTCTCTCTCTCTAGGATTATAGGTAGTTTGTATTAAATTCTAACAATATATAGTGTATATGTATATATATATATAAAATTTTTTTTTTATTGAAAAGCATTGCGTACATTGATCATATAATGTCTTGTTAATTTTAAACTAATTTTTTAACATCACCACTAATTGGATTATATTGTACAATACGATCATGTAATATTAAGCAGTAGGCTGCAGTATCTTCAGGAAAATCGGTCCGAGTTTCAAATTCTAGGCGAACATCGACTGGAGCGCTTTTTAATGTTTCATTTTGTTTGGAGCAGTCTATAACTATTAACGGCACTTTATTAATGAAATCCTTTTTATTGAGTAACGGCTCGTTTTCTTTACCATAGTAAGCGTTTTGAAAATTAGTATACATATCGTAGAGAACAGAAAACTGATTTTGATTGATATTTAAATTGAGATTTCCATACGGATAGCATTGTGAATTGAGGAATAGCTTCACATTACTAATATTACAATGATCAAAATTACTAGAATTAACACTTGCTGAACTTTTACGTTTAGTTTGAAAAGCTAAAATAACAAAGCGAGGCTTTTCCAATTGATTGGAAGTCTTAACACTCCAAACATGCTTTAATGTACGAGGTAATTTTGGATACTCATACATTTCCCAAGTACGATAACTCATAGTAATTGCACGATCTCGTCCAATCTGATTGAGTAATTTGATTTTTTCTTTGTCTGCGACCATCACATATGGCATCAACCATTCAACCTTAGTTAAAGTAATTTTTGATTTTTCTGAAGCATCAGGATTCCTTACTGGAATACTTAAAATAGCATTCAAATCATCTTTTGATCTTGTGAGAATAAGTTCATGCTTGACATTGACTACAATTTTCCGATAATCTTCAGCAAAGCCCAGTAACATACTGAAAGGGATAGTCACATCAAAAAAACCTTGAGCGTTACATATTAAAACTTCATTGTTATCACCATTCCATCCGGCATTTTCAGCGATAGAGTTTTGACATGGATTGAGTGAAAGCCAATTTTTCATGAGGCTCGTTAAAGCCTACATTTTTCACTTTATCAATTTCAATAGCATTTATTTCATATCGTATTTCCTCGAACAAATGACAGAGGGCATTGTTGACTAATAAAGTGTTCTCCACTGGAGTGGTACCGTCCGGCTTGGTCAACCTACCACAAATATGAATCATACTGCGCGATGGAAGCAGAGATAAATCTTGATGTTGAATTGCTATATGAATTTCATCACTATTATTGAAATATGATAATGAATGAGGCTGATGCGCATGAACTTCATAATGAGCTATAGACTCATCGAAAGCGACAGCTGAATGAATGTCTAGAATTCCCTCCATATTATTATTATTGTTGTTGTTGTTTTATACAACACACTAATATGCACAATATTTTCTTCCACGATTTTCGACGACTTCTAGTCTCAAGCTTTTCAGAAATTGAATGTTCTGAGGTGTGAGCGGTCTGATAGCTCGCTGTTGACTGGTTGCTGTTGAACATTTTTGTCTTTTAATATAGCCTCGGCCGCTCTTTATATTGTAAATGATACCCATTACTAAGATATGGTCTTTATATGCACTCGCACTGTGATGACTTCTCCTCGAAAGTTAACTAGGTTTCCGTCTTGATCAACTATACGAATTTGAAAATTATCAATGCTCCTCACAGTGACTGGAAGGTAAATGACGTGAGAGGGAACTTCTATAATCTTATATCCAGGTGGGACTGCTGGGAAAAATTCATGTATAGTATGTACTTTGCGATCGTTTATGTAAGAGCCTGTAGTAATATTACACTCTACACGTAAAGCATTGACTTTGAGTATAGTGACGGGTAAGTCAGAACTATGTGTTTCGTTTTCAAGGAGTTCGTTTTCAACGAGCGTGCGTTTAGTGAAGCCTAAAATTGATCCAATATAGAATCTTCTGGTTCAAAATGTATTTTTTGACTGCACCGAATGACACTACGTAAAGTATTATTATTTGGTTTTAGGCTAAACGATATACCTTTAGGTGCTAATTCGTCTATGAGAAAGCTTTCAATATCTTCTATTTCGTAGCTACCAGTCGGTAAAGTGATAGCTTCTT